AGGACTAGGTTTTGTTGAATATTAGTGGAAGTTCTTCTAGACATTTCACTTGTGCAACTATAAGATTTTGCCATTAATATAAATGTCTTACTGTTCTGTGCATAATATTACTGACTGTTCTTGATATATACAGATGATCCAAAGTCTTAGACTATGCATTACAATTGGTTTATAGTAATCATAAAAGCATACATTATCATGATCTTTACTACGTGTTAGGTTATGTGGAAAGCACTTCACATATGTTATCTATCTCATTTATTCTTGAGAACCATACTTTAATATGCAATTCTTATTTCTCAAATGGGAAGATAGAGATTTTAGAAGCTAAGTGACTCAGATAAAACACACTCTGAGTCTGACTTTAAAGTCAGTGTTGTTAACTTTATCATTTTCTTCATTGGGTAAAAACTCTTCCAGTGTGCTGAGATAGTGTAACTATTAAAGTGATAACAGTACATGGCATGCTGATAGCACTATGATTTTCTAGCAGTGAGTTAAACCTAGCATGTGTTGCCACCCACATTTGACCACAATTTAGAGCACTTTGTTTACTCAGATCTTGTGCCAGTAGTCTGCTAGTCTAGACTCATGTTCTTTTTCTCTTCTGAAATTAAACTAATGGCCTCCACAAGTTTGTATTTGTACTATTTGAGAGGAGAGAACAGGGGACTATTTATTATATTCAGTGTATCCTAAAGTATTAAAGTAATATACGTTGTATATTCCTTAATATTTAACAAAATGAATGTTCTTACAAAGTCAGAGTTCCTGAACTATGTAGCTTGCACATTTCTTTCACATGTATTATTTCCTTTAATCCCCAGGACAGTGCTGCTTTGTATGTGATATTCTTTCCTTATAAGTAAAAACAACTGAGGCTCAGCTCAGTTAGATTGACTTATTCAGAATCACACATCTGAAAAGTCCTAGAGCCAAGATTTAAATCCTGGTCTTTTTATACATATTTCATCAGTTTCCATTATACCATAGCTCTTCACTGTGCCCCCGCACTGCGACTTTATTATTTAGGGTAAAGGATATCAATACAGGTGAATGAGAAAACTATAGGAAATAGCAGATTGGACCCTTTTCAGTCAGTAGCCTCTACCAGCCATTTTTGGTTCTTGGGCTGAGTGAAGATATGATCATTTAATTCTGTGGAAGTGAATACATTCCAGCAGTATATTGATATTTAACTGTGGTCATGAATATAGTCCCTGTCCGTTTTGTATGGTGTACAAAGAATAATAAAAGTAATTTCAAATTATTTAATTTGGATTACTGTGGACGTTAGTTATTTTCCTTTTTTCATATCTTTTTTCTTTCCTTTTTCTTCATGTTGGAAATCTTTCTTCTGCTGCCTTCTTCTGTCAATTAAAAGGAAAATCCCACCTAAACGGTAATTCATCCGTTGAATTACATCTTGCTGCATTATTTTACATTAACAAATGCACTTCTTTTACTAATAAAAAAGTCCTAGTCTATTTTTAAAGGTTGCTTTTTAAAAACTCGAGGCTGAATATACTTGCAAAAGCAAACTATATAAACGAAGATTTCATGTATATATTGTAAATAATTCTGTAGAGGATATTTTATCCCCTTAATATAATTTTACAATTTTTAATGCTCTTTTTTTCCCCCTTTTTAACCCTAGTCCACCAAGAAAACATATTGTGGAGCGCAATACAGAGTTTTACCACATACCCACTCACAGTGATGCCAGCAAGAAGAGGCTGATGGAGGACACTGAAGACTGGCGTCCGCGGACCGGGACAACTCAGTCCCGCTCTTTCCGAATCCTTGCCCAGATCACTGGGACTGAACATCGTAAGTGAACTTCTAGGCATCCTAGGATGATAACCTAATGTTCTTTGCCACAGAGAGTAGCATTTAGACTGATTGGAAGTTATTCAAAACAAACCTGAGACAGTTTGCTTTTAAATTATGCTATGCATAATATGGGTACCGTAAATAAGACACCAGCCTAGGAAAGTATTATTCAAAATACTACTTTAGAAGTAGTAGCAGTATAACTACTAGTACTGACTGTAGCTTGTAGGAGATAACAACACAGCGTGGAATATGTGTTAGTGGCCCCCTGAAACGTGAACATTTGATACTGATTGGTATAGGTAATTGTTTAAGTGATTTGAAATTGAGAGCAAACTAATATTGGATATTGCTCATTGTATTTCAGTGAAAGAATCTGAAACTGATAATACGAAGAAAGCAAAGTAAGTTCTCCATCTTTTTGTAAATTGAATGCTTTCCTTTCATGAATGGTCTGAGTTTGTGTTTTCAAATTTTCCAGTTTAATGATATGGCATTTTTGTCTTTGCAACTAGAAGCTAAGCATTTAACGTCAGTGCCTTCTGTGTGACCTCAGTGTACAACTTAACAGATTTTTTAATTAGTGGATGTTGTCTGGATTTTATGTCTGTGGGTTATTTTTCTTAGTATTGAAACAAGAAATGGGCAAAAAGGTATATTTGGGGGTGCTTTGCTAATAGTACCTCTCTCTGTGAATGAGTTCATGTGTTGTCTTGCAGGCACTTTATTATGGGCATTAAAGTCAGTGTTTCCAAGTGGGCTGTATTTCTAAAAATGGCTCTACCCTTAAAAATCTTTGCTATTTAATACAACAGCTATGTGCAGTTATGCTTTTATGAGACATGTTGTCTGCATGATGGAATTAGTGTGGAATCGTCTTCTTTCTCTTTCTTATGACTCTTCTGTCACTCTTTCTTTTTATTTCCACAGGGAAAAGATACCCCTTCACGTCTTTAGTCCCAAATACACAAAATTACGTGACTGGCACCATGAAGTTTCAGCACGTGCTCTTAACGTACAGTGATTTATGAGCCTTGCTCCCCAAGCAGCCAGCACATACCTTTTCATCCACTTTTCCTTTTTTTCTTTCTTTTTTTCCCAACTTCACTGCAAAATTCTGTATTAAATTTGCTTTAGGAAAAAATAGATCCTTTTCTATACTTTTCTAAGAATTTCCTATTGTTATGAGAATAAGGAAGATGAACGTTTTTTAGGCTAGTTGGTAGCTCACAAGTGTAAAACCAAAGAAGAAAATTAAGGGACTAGATCTCTTCAGTGGATTTACATGTTTCCATTGTTACTAGGATAGTAACCTCAGTCAGAAAAGGAATTATTTTTGTAAGTTGAATTTGGTTGGTTGTTTGAAGCAGAGGCAGTTGAGAAGATAATACCCTTGTCTAACTCGGAAAGTACTTCCTTTATGTTATTACCTTTCCCAAGATTACTTTCAAGTTCAGTATTATGTAATGTCAAAGTTGATTGCAATTTATTCTGAATAAGCACGGGATTAAAAAGAGAAGATATTATTAAAGAGTTCAAGGTAGACTTAGGTGTCTTTCAAAGCAGGTACTATTCAGGATGGCTATATGAAGAAGAGGAAGTCCAGATTTGGCTCCTGAAAAAGGAAAGAAGAGAATTTTACAGTGTTCTTTTGGTTGGTTAGAGTCAAAGACCTTATTTTCTACCAAAGGAAATATTTCTAAGCTGGTGGGTATTTTTAGGGTGTAGACAATTTCTAGGCATTAATTAATAAGAGGTAGAAAGGATAGCTTTTTTTTTTTTAAAACCAAAGGACGGTAACATACAGTAAATTGCAGTATATATGATTTTGAGACATGAGAGAGATTTAACTTAGCAATATGAACTATGCATTGCTGCTGTTCCTAGGAAGCTATGTTTGGGCAATACATGGAAGCTAAATATATGACCAGAAATGCTTTCTGCCTTGTAATATAATGTATTATATATTAGGTATAAGTTCATTAATAAATGCATTTTGAAGTTTGGAAAAGTAATAAAAGTTGCCTTTAACTTAGTTGTGTACTTGTTTTGTTTCCTTAAGGACAGTAATGGTGTCATCTAGGACTTCTCACAGTTATCACTTGGGTAAAATAAACAATTCTATTGACATCTCATTTGGAAAACGCTCTTAGTTTTGTGAGGTTACTAAAAATGTGAGTGAAAACATGGCAAGAGACCATGTTTGATTTCTTTCCCTGAATTATTACTTTATTTAACATCACATCCTGTGTGAGTGACATGTAAGATCGATTAGACTGTGTTACAACATAGAATTATTTTCCATGTGAAAACGATCACTGAAGGAACTTGCCTTTCTTCAAGGGTTCATTTTTATTTTTATGGTTGTTCTTCACTTTAATGTCACAATGGACTAGGATAACTATCTGATAATTTGGAGAAATTAAGATACAAATTTCAGTTAGTAATTGGTTACTCTTTAAAATTTAGCCCAACAAATGCATTTAAAAAGTAATTCTAGAATTTACCTAGATGTGCATGTCCAGTATACTTCATGATATAGAAGATGTCTTTCATTTAATACATCATTCCCTTTCAGATACTGAAAGAGGGGTCTTGACTGCTTGTGCTTTTATGATCCTGACATCAGTCCCTACTAGTGTCTCTGGTCTATATAAGAAAATGTACTTTCTTAGACCAGGCTTTCCTATACCTGATAATTCTTTCTTGATCTCAAAGGATGATGTCTAAAAGAAGATAGAATTAAAGTCTTATAAAAACAAATGGGATTGTAGAGTAAACTTAGTATTTTCTACCAAGATCCCAATTTCTAGCATAACTACAGAATTGATAGAAGGAATTCATTAGTAAGAATTTTAGGTAAATAAAAGATAACAAGTATGACTAAAATTTGAAATAGGTGCAGCTGAAAATAAGAATTTAATACCTTGCTTAATTTAAAATAAAGTATTATGTCATTGAAAGCATACACTTACATAAATGGAATGATGCATACTTGAACATGAGGATAAGTATTCAGCCAAGATCACAAAGGACATTCCATTTAGCCCTGTCAGAAGTTGAATTCCTGAGCTCAGTGGATCTCCTGGGATATCTTATATTGCTAGCTTAAAAGCTAGCAAAAAATTATAAAAGCTTCTTGCAAAAATATTATCGTAAGTCTAGTGACTTAATTTATGACTTGTTTTTGTTTGTCTCTCTTATACAGATTTTTTTGTCATAGCCTTGTTTTTAATGTGACAATGGGAGGTTACTCTAAAGAGTTTTCAACATTTTTTTTCTTTCTTTTTTTTAACTAGTCAGAAGCAGCAATTTTTTTGTTACAGTCAAATGTATTTTTATTACCTTAAAAATACCTTATTTGTGGAAACAGAAACATATTCATTTTGTTCTGTAGGAAGGCTGAGATATAGACATCTTTGAGCTTATTGAATAGAAAGTATGGTATTAGAATACAGAAATCCCTTCTTTTATGCAAAATTGTATAAGGAATTTATGCAAAAATTTATGCAAAAATGAATAAGGAATTGATTTTTCCCCCAGATAAGTAATTTTTCAAGTATTGTATTCCTGTTACATGTTTAAAATCCTATAAACTGTAAGTCATTCTTTCAATTAAGTAATTACTAAATACTTAGATGTCAGGCTGTAATCCATGTGCTAAGAATACAGTGGTGAATAACAAGTCAATATACAGGTGGCCATAAATTCATGTGCAATTTAAGAGTAAGCAAGATGATCTAATTATGTTATCAGGATATAAGCTAAATTTATGTAAAAGAAATTTGTCTTAGGAAAGTATTACTTTAGCTTATGTGGACCTCTGAGGAAATGACCTAATGCCAATCCCTGGGAGGGGAAAAGGAGTCAGCAGTGCAGAGGGCAGAGGAAGCAGGTATGGAACGGAGCACACAAGTGCACAAAACAGAAAGGTCTCTGGGGCTGAGACGGAGAAGAAGAGAAGCATGATCTAAAAACCTATTGTTTATGCATGTGGACAAATAAACATATAGTAACTTAATGTTCCCATTATTACAGCATTTTAAATGGAGAATTATTTTATCATGTCTAAACACTGAGGTACAATCAAAAAATGGAGAGGGAAGACAGGTTGCCAAGTGAAGTGTGCTCATCTAGTCAGAGCTGGCCCTGATTGTCATGAATTTGATGTTTTTCTTGTTGAGACCCAGTGAAAACCCAGAAAAGTGAGATATGAATATTGTGTATGTTAATAGCCAGTACGTGGGGAACGGAAACAGAATGTCTTGTAGAGTATACATAAAGCCATACCCCAAAATCTTTGATGTATAAAAATTTAAACATAATGCTCTCTTCATAATTTAGTGATGAATTTGATAACTTAATTCTCTCTATAAAATCCTGGCTGGAGGCTTGGCGCCCATAGCTCAATGGTTAGGGCGCTGACCACATATACCAAGGCTGGTTGGTTTGAACCTGGGCTGGGCCTGCTAAACAACAATGACAACTGCAGCAACCACAACAACAACAAAATAGCCAGGTGTTATGGTGGGCGCCTGTAGTCCCAGCTACCTGGGAGGCTGAGGCAAGAGAATTGCTTAAGCCCAAGAGTTTGAGGCTGCTATGAGCTGTGACTCCAGAGCACTCTACCAAGGGTGAAATAGTAAGACTCTGTCTCAAAAAAAGAAAAAAAAAAAAATCCTTGCTGGAGTTTCTTGGATTCTTTCCTTTCATTTATCCCGTTCAAGAAAATGTCTCATATTCTTGCTCATTCTTTCCAAATAAGCATCATAGGGCTCTGTGCCTATAGTCAGTGGCTAGGGTGCTGGCCACATACACCGAGGCTGGTGGGTTCGAACCTAGCCCGGACATGCCAAAAAAAAAATGACAACTACAACAAAAAAATAGCCAGGCATTGTAGAATACACCTGTTGTGGTCCCAGCTACTGGGGAGGCTGAGGCAAGAAAATTGCTTATGCCCAGGAGTTTGAAGTTGCTGTGAGCTGTGATGTCACAGTGCTCTACTGAGGGTGACATTGTAAAAAAAATAAAAATAAAATAAACATCATGGTATTTTGGATTTGCTTGTTTGTTGTTGTTGTTGTTAGAAGTAGTAGGAAATATGGAATGATAAATCCTGGGGGGTTTTTTGTTGAGATTTGTAGGTGACAGAGTACTTTCTGCCCCTGAGTTTCCACTTCTTTAAAATATGAAATTAGAATCTGTGGTAGTCATTGTGATACCCACCCAAATACCACTTTTATTTGATACCACTGGTACTGGGAATGTGGTGGGCAGGCAGCTTTCGTGTGTTAGCCCCTTCACAGTCACTGCAACTGCAGACACCCCTTCCCTCAAGCCTGATTGGTTGGAAGAGGAGAGAGGTCAAGAATCTAGCCATTTCAGTGTAGATAGGTAACATTGA